AAAATTCTGCGTTTTCTTTCGTCCATTTAACTTCTTGTCAATTTCTATATTGCTCGTTATCAGTTTTTCAATTCTTGCCTTTCCTTTTGTTTCTATTCCCGGTAAGAGAAATTTGTTATCGAATTTGCTTACCGTTATTTTGTAGACAGTTATTTAACTGGTTACGATAGGAATGGGTGTCTACAAACTGCTGATACGGTTAGTATTAATAATTATTAATTAGCAGTGCAGCCTGGTATCTGATGAAAACACCATTTGTTTCATAATATTTATTATTTTGTCATTTGTTATTGAATCTTATTTAATTTAAAATGTAGTTAATTTCATTGATTTAAATCGAAATGAAAATATTTATAATAATTACGTATCGGTGAGCAATTTTTAAGACAACATGTAAGAATCAATAACAAATAACAAAGTAATAAAGATTATGAAATAAATAGTGTTTTCATCAGATACCAGGCTGCACTGTTAATTATTAAGGTTAAGTTCAAATTTAAATTAATTCTTCCTCCAAAGAGAATGTTAGCACAGTTTTTAAATATTTCTTGACGTATTTACTGTCTGGTTTCTCAGATATCAAGGACATCAGTTTAAGAAATGCTGTTTCGAGAAAACCGCGTTTAAAGTTTCTACGACGAGCAGCGTGAGACCCGACACCGCTACGTTTCTTATAACTTCGTTAGTTTTCCGGATTCTGAATCCTTTTGATATTATGCTTTCAAAATATTCATACTTAGCAAACCGAATGGGAAGATCTCTCACCTTTCGCTTAGCAACGCATTGCCATGTATTTTGTTCATTTTTTCCTTTTGTTATTTAATAAGTCTTCAACTGAGAATATTTGCAGTTTAATAAATATCTTCCTCACTTCTGCGAAACACAATTTTTAATCAAATAATTTTAAAGTTAGTGAAAAGGGTTTCAATTGTACATTTTTTAGACGATTATCTAAGTGTTAAACCATAGAAAAACAGAAAACAAAAGTTTCGATCATTTTTATCACACTAGGAAGACAACACATTGCGTACCGGAAACGAGAAATTTCGTTTTTATATAAGTACCTACCTCCGTAACTTTGTTAACTGCCACGCCATTTTAAAGAATATTAAATTTTATTACAACTAATTCCTTTAAAATTGATCAAATAACAATATGATATTTTAATATCTCGCACATAGTGATGTAAGTTGATCTCATTGAAAATCCTCGGCCCAAAAATTCAAAGGATCGCTTTAAGTAATATAATCTAATCACTTCTCTTCAACTATTGTTCAAAGAAAATCGTTAAGCTGCTTTTTGATACAAGACAATCGTTAAAAAGCCTATCAACCATTTAACAGCCATGTGCGTCGGTGACTCGAAGGATTCACGAAAGCGGTATTAAACTCTACTAATTTATTTAAAAATTGAAGATCATAATTTATTTCTTCCGTCTAAACGAAAAGTTTTTGTTAGGAAAAATTGAATGGTAACAATTTTATATCGATAATCAAACAAAAGTAATGGTTAACTTCAAGTTCGTATATAACATCGCGCACCGAGAAAATGTGTGCATTAAAAGTTTAATAGTCGACCGGTAAATAAGGTTTTAATATCTGTCAGCCATGAATGTTCGATAAAATTAAGAATTTACTCATCGCTGGCTCCGCACGCCGTGAGACCCGCCATTTTGCTGACCGAAAGCGCCGCGTCTGGTGTCTTGTCTCGTACCGTTTTCGTCGACGGTAGACCTCTTTGAGTCTCGGTTCCGCAGCTCTGCATCACAGGAACCTATTTATATTCGGCGATAGTGAATGCACGAGGTGATCCACGAACCGGAAAACCCAGGTTCGTGTGAAGCCCAACGGATATCCCAAAAGTGTTTGATCAACCTATCAACGTAGGGTAAACGTATCTATAGAATATCGCCACTCGTAATACTTCACGAAGAAAATAGTATATAGAGTGTTCCGACTGAAGAAGGGTGCGAGAATAGTTTCCCTCACTTTTAACACTAGAACTATCCAGCAATCAAATAGATATTTTCAAAATCTTACATAGAATCTCTAAGAACGCAGCTATTGACTTTTCAATTGACTTACGATTCAACTTGCGTATTAAGAAGTCGATTTCTTTAGTAATTTCGCAGAGAAGCATGTTATCTTTTTAATAATTGGAGAAGAAGAATTTATGAATGGGTCAATTTGACCCGTTTGGTAGTTTTATCGTTGATGATGTAGTGATTGTTTCTCGAGATGTTTAATCCTGTATAGGTCTTTGTAACTTTGAAGTCACATACCAATATAGTAGCATCTTGTCGATGTTTTAATTTTGCAAAGTAAGGTGACGAATAAAGTTGAGTAATTAATTAACTGAAGCTTTTATTAGGCATGAAAGTTCAACGTCATTGCAATTTCAAAATCACAAGGCATAGTCGTTTTAGTACAATTATTAACTTGTCAACTGCGGAATTTAGTTTGAAAAATGTTCAAGCATTAAATTATCAATCAATTTTATTTCTTCTCCTTTCAGTTCAAGTATTCAATTTAAAAGAAAATTTCAGACGAAAAGAACATGCCGCCATATTGGCGACACATTTCTGGCGCGATACGAGGAATTTTGTTACGCTTGACGCAGATACGCAGGCTGATTTTGTTTATTAATCATTTTGTATGGAGTGATACATTTCAAAAGAATCTAGCATAGATAATGCAACGAGACTGTCGATGTGTATAAGACGTCATTGGTAATTTCCGAACAAAAATGCCTCGACGTGCGTGATATTTACCGTGATTCCAGCGCAAGAGGTTAAGCTGCCGTCACAATGGAATTGGAATAACGGTTCGAGGATGGAGGCATAGCCCGTATGCTGTTTCCACGTTAATCACGGGAACGGGACAGCACAATGTTGCGAAAAAAAGGAGTACCAGTGTACCGAACACTTCGCCGAAGTGTTCCACGACATTGCGTGACTTCTTATTGTTCCATCCGAGCTATAAATCAGTCACATTGTTCATAGCCCAGCGGCTGCTTCTTGAATCTCAACGTTAGACGTTCCAGATCTATCAAAATAAGACAATTCTGGATTTCTTTATGTTTTCTTGTAACTAAAACTATGATGACGGTGATTTTATGGAGAATTGTCGAATAAATTTATTCATTCGTGGGTACACTCGAATGAATGTGTTGAGGAAATAGAAACAATAATGAAAATGGCAAGAACTCATTTTATTGACAGAATGGATAGACAGTAATATATTTATTAACAGAATTATGGAAAATTAACGTGAACCTGAGAGGAGAATATGAAAGTAATGTGAAAAGAAATAGATAAGCTAATTACATAATTTTAATAAAGCACTGCCATATTTTTAGTACCTAATTAGTAACTAATTCTAATGAAGATTAAGTTATTTAGGCACATGCAATTTACATCTGATTCGTATCCTCCAGGTTGACATGTGTTTGTATATATAAACGGGAAATCACACGAGTGGATCTAACAATTGATTATTTAAACGATTGGACCGCTGAGAATTACCATTTCAAAACCTGACGTTAAAATACATGAAGGTTTCTTTCGCCGCCGTGTCATCGCATTTTCTACAAAAATTATCAGACGTTTTTCATTTATTTTTAAAGCTGTTCCTTTGAACAATTTTCTTTACGCTACTGACGCCGTGTGTAATTTTCCCTTTAATCCTTTCAACACTGATAGAATAATGCTTCTCGAATTAATTACTAAAATAATTACTCCAACTTTTTTAAGCAGGTTCAGAAATGAATAGCAGTTTCTAATAAATTATTCCTTATTACAATAATAATGAAACTTTATTTTAAACTGCAATAAATTCTGTTTGAATTTCGCTTCTCTTTATTTAATATTATATATAATATTATTACTTAATACGTAATATATTATAAGCAGATATTTTTAATTATTAATTATTTGGAGAACCATCTGATCGTCTCTTTCTTTAATAATAAACTTATTTAAGTCGAAGATACTTGAGTGATTTTAAAATAAAAATGTAGTAGATAGAGAAAGAAATTTTCGAGATCAAAAATAGAAAATTTCGAGGTTATAGTAATATAAAAATTCCATGCAGTTTATCTTGAATGTAAAAAAATAATCTAATGGTAAAATGATATTAGAATGTAATGAATTATGTTGTATCAATATCTAAAGCAACTAGAAAATCAAAAATTCTTAAATTACTGAATTGGAAGTGATGGATATACACTTTAATTAGTTTGCTAATAAAACCTAATGGCATTAGAGTTCTTCTTTAGCCAACTAAAAGCTAAAGATGTTTACTGGTATGCTAATTCTACGTTAGAGATAATGACCCTGAAATTCGTTACCTCTAAGTTTGAAAACAATTTTTTCTGTATTTACGATAGTTCTCTTTCGCAACCATTCAAACATATCGAAGTGTGGGCATCATGCCATAAGTAATAAAAGAGAGACTTAAATAGTTTTCTTCAGCTGGGGTACTCTGAGTAGTTTTTGATTTTGTTTAAAAATATTAATTATTTTTCTCAATTTTAATGTATTTCACATTTTACATGGTACTTGAAACCGTGTTTCTTTGTATTTCTCTAACGTTTTAATGTTTTGTTAATTGTTTTCTTTCGATAGTTATCGAAATTATGATATGTCGCAGAAGTGATAATAAAAATGTTGAAGCATTAAATTATCCAATCTATGTAATGTCTGTATTTTCTTTTTCGAAGTTTTATTTCTCTTTCTTTCAGTTTAAATATTCAATTTAAAAAAATTCAACCATTCTTATGCGAAATTACGAATATAAAAAATTAATTGATCTGAGAAACAAGTTAGATCGTTCGACTAACAATTTTTAAAATTTGTGAAATATGAACGTACTATCAATGCAAACAATTTAAGAATGTTTCTCAACTTACGGTCAGATAAGAAAAGGTTTTTCTGAAAAACTGATAATTTAATTATAAAACTGAGATTAATTAACTGACAATACATATTTTTCTGTTTTCAGATGCAGCGTAACTTCTAATCCTGTTTGGCGATCTGATCTGGTGAGCTTTTTGTCCGTTTCCTTTTTATCCTTCGAACGATAAGAAACAGACTTCACAGTGAAACTGATTTCATTGCTAGAATATCCGAACAAAGTCAATTTATGGAATGAAAAAAGGTAACAACGACTTGTATTTGTATCTCTCCAGAATAATAAGACACAAATCATATGTACAAAAAAATTAAAAGAAGTATCCCTTTCTATAATGAAAGTGCAATGTCCAAGTTACAATTTCCATTAATCAAAGTTAAAAGTATAATTGGATCTTTACAAAACTGAAAATCTTTTCTGTGCAATTGGCGAAAGGTGAAATTAAACAGAAAGATCCTTTCCTGATGCCAACATCGAAATCAATCTAATGAAGAGGGTACAATAAAATTCAATTAGCACCTATGTAGACAGACATTTATGGTCACAGACTATTCTGATGGTTCAATACAAATTACCGAACCCATTATCGGGACTAGCCCGACGTTAATAGACAATTTAGAGTCTTTCGTAGATGAGTAATCGGGGTTATGGTGGCTCGTCAAATATCGAAGCGATTAATCTGTACTTCTAATAGGGAAAGATAGAGCAACAATCGCTATCTAAGATAGTTAAATCGGATAAACTATAAGATTGTTATTTGTTGAAAAAGAAATCACTTCGAAAATTTAAATAAACCGATTCTTCTCTTTTAACTTACATAGAAATAACCTTAATCCCTTCTTGTATAATCACGGGTCAGACTCGTGATAGAAATTTTTAACCTTTAACAAATCTAAACGTTATTTATTTTTCATACAAATGAAATATTACTTGCTTATTGTTAATCTATAACCTTTGAAGTAACTGTAGATACAGAGTGAGCATCAAATTTTTCTCCTTTTATATTAAATTGTTACAATTATTACGATAAAATTGTCCTACTGAACACAGTTGTAAAATAAAAAATAGGACAAGGTAATATACTAATATACTATTACTGGTTAGTAATGTACTATTAAATAATAAATAATAATATATTATTACTAACGTGAACAAAAATCTGAATTATTTTAAATAATGGCGCACAATCATCCAGAAAGTAAAAAGGATATTTTTTGTTCAAATGTTTTTATGTTTCCACAGGAAAGCATATTTCTAAATATAATTGAAGTCACGTAAAAAGAAAAAATCTTTTATTCTGTATTCTGAGAAAACCGTATCTCAGATACCCTGCATACTGATTACGCTTTATTTCAACAACGTCCACGGTAAGAAAACTCCAGCATGGTCATGTTTCTAACGAGAGAGAAACAGAAACATGTTTCCACGTATCTCAAGTTTTATACAACAAAGAACTTCCAACTCGGCTATTTATTTCACGCTTTTTCAAAAGAATTATTATCAAGAATACCTTCAATCATTTACATTTGAGAATTCATCCACTGTAAATATACATTTTTTCTCTGGCGCAGTTTCTCTGATAAAAGACAGTTTTATCGCTTAACATGACGAATAATCGTATATAGCAACAAAATATTATTTCAATATTATATAACAAAATATTAAGCGACAATATTATTTTATCATAATATTTTGCATATTAACCCGTTGCCTTATAATACTGTGTCAGATTAGTTTTCTTGTTAGCAATTTCTATAGTTTCACTACTACATTATTAACGATAATTAGTTCTATCAGGTGCAACTGCGAAATTATCGCAGCAAAGGGGTTTGCACTATAGAAAATTGAATATTGAACATAGTATACCACTACATAAAAACTACTACACAGTACTACCACGCGAAAAGCTGGCTGTCGCATGCATATGAAATTTGTTAGATCAAAAGCGTCGTCCCCTTTTAACAAAAATATCCGTTAGAACGTCGAAAAAGAACGCCGAGACTCTCCGGTTGATCCAGTAAATTATCTAATCCCGTCGGCGGGACGTGTTCGACGTTAACGGAGTAGGTAAACACCGTCGCTCGAAACGTGGAACGGTCAGTTGCCCCACTGATAATGCGAACCCATCCAGAATAATCGTCAAAGGTGCCGCCAGACGGAACACCGGCCGAACAATACGAGGCGCCTTCGCCGGCGAAACTTATTGAAAAACAATTTTTACGGACGATCGACGGAACTGATGGATAATGTAGCGGGTCCATCCCGGCGTACCAATGGCGGCTCCGCGGCGGCAGCGGCGGCGGCGTCGTTGTATTACAACAACGTTCGCGATTATGTGCGCCGCTCGCCGGATTACGATGTGCTTTCCCGACTACTGATTTTCGCGCCCGGATTCCAGCTGACGCTTCAATAAATTTCACGCGCTCCTGGCGAATATGTTTTTCAGCCGTGGCAGAGGATACACACGACCACAGACGAAAGCTTGGCTGATTATGGGAAAAGAGAAACTTGTTTCCGAATATTTCGAATTGATTTACATAGCTTTCGGCTGAATTTATTCTCTGTTTCCAACATCGAGTATTCCGTTTTTTTGTCGTAATACGATGCGTTGCGTTGCATTTAACACTAAAATTGCCGAGCGATTGAATCGACTTTTTAAAATTCCTCTATAGAAAGTCCAAGAGTGCAGCTATTGAGACTTTGATTTAGAATTCATTTTGCGTATTGCTAAATCAATTTCTTGAATAATATCGTAGAGAAACATCTGTTATCTTTTTAATTGTCGCGGAAAGAAGAAATCGGGAATGGGTCGTTTTGACTCGTCTGGTGGTTTTAGTGTAAAGAAATGTGACAAGGCGGGTGTAATAAATAATGGATTAAATGAATCTGTGAATAATAGGACGCGTTAATATTCAAATTGTAGGGGGACGAAGTCAAAGAAATCATGTTGTGTTGCAAGATATAGTTAATAGTTTTTTTTACAAGAGATTTCGCGAATTATTCAAATAGCAGCTGGGTTTAAGCTAGCTACTGCTTATTAATATGACCATTCGCAATAATAACTAAATTCTTATAAATACAACGCGTATATGTTGCAATAGAGTTTACTTGTGTTACCATCTAATATTACGCTACGACGATTTCCTAAACTTTTATCGCCTTTTAACGCGTGACTGCAGCGACTCCAATAAATATAATAAAAACATAAGCAAACACCTATACATGTAAATCGTTCGAGAAATTCTAGAGGAACTTTTGTTTTATGACTTAACACTATTTACGTATATACATCTACCAGTACAGTTTGCACGATCGTTCCTAGAAAACTTGATATTCATCCATTTAGATCTTCAAAATCAAATATTTCATAACAGACGGTTAGAAAACATATTCGCGCAACTGCATAAATCAAAATCGACCTGAACATTTACCAAATAATGCTTATAAAATTCAACACGAGTCACATTGATTCGTTCCGTCGATCTGGTGTTACCGAACTTCCAACGTTAGAAATGTATAACCATTCTCCAGAATGTCGAGCAAACCGCCAAAGCCAAGCGTGTCCATTAACACATTGAACGCCAAATACACAAAACGGAAAAAATATATTGTTAAGTCATTTGATTGAATTGCATTATTATTACTGCACGTTCGTGTAGCCGAATGTCGCTGCATTAGGTAGCGTTATTTATAATATAGAAATGTTTCCAAATAATCGTCGTTTAATCGAACGAACTATAGTAATCGGATTTGGTTGGGAGTCACCGGTGACCCTCGTGGCATTCAACGTGTTAAAAAAAAGCAATGGCGCAATAAATATTTGCTACCTTTCAATGCTCGGCACTGAAACGTTAAACTCGGCCGACGTTGAACCTATCGCTCCGCGGAATCCATTTTCTCGGAGGAAATGCATCGAAGGTTCCGTGGGAGAGAAGTCGCTGGGCACTGTCTGTCTGGTCATGGTCGGCGAACCCTGGCGAAATTGCAGGTGCCTCGATGAGTCTCGATTCACGAATTACGATTTACTCGTTCGCCGGCGTTCTCTCCACTTCTTTCGTGACTTGGGCGCCGAGACCGGAGAAAAATGATTCTACGAACGCGATCCGGAGGCCCGAGGCGCCACGGTTTTTTCGACGCGAACATATCTGACCCTGGGTTTACGCGAAAATTCCACGTGGATTCGTTTTACGCGAATGAAAATAGTATGAACAAAGTGTGTCGGTATAAGAGAAACGAAAATATTGAGAAGAAAAGCTGATGTAAGTTTTAGAACGGGTTTATCTCAGGTAGTCGATCGAAGGAATAATGTTTTAGAAAGCAGAAGTACATTTTACTCGTTAAATTCAGATCGTGTGAATTAATTTGCACTCGAGAGGTGACTGTCAGCCATCATTTGATTTGATATAACAAAATTACGAAATGTTATATATAATATTAAGTTTTGTATAATACATCAATACGTGAAATATTTAATTAAAATAGCTTTGTTTCTTAATTTACGTATGTTTCCATAAGTTTCAAATAATGTCGCCTATGTTTCATCGGAAAGTGTCAAATGACTCTAGTGAAAAGCTTCCGAGTGCAAAGGGTTAAACTCGCATATAAAAACTACCGCGTAAATTGAGGGTCGAGCGTAAGTATTTCTCTCATTCGTTATTTCCTGCTTTTCAACCGAACCAAGGATATTATACAGTATGTTTCAAGCCTTTGTTCTATGATTTCTCTCACAGCGATGCTCGATAAAATTATTAGGTCGTCTCATGAGTTCGTGCTGCGGTGTGTTTATACTTCTCGCGTTACGTTTCGTAATTGCAGCGATACGAGGGCTTGGGTGACTAAACCTTAATGCTTCAGTTCAGTCAGTAGAAGGTATTCCAGAGCGACAGATGACCTAACCCTTTGCACTCAGAAGTTTTTCGCTAGAAATATTTTAACATTTTCTGACAAGGTAAAGACTTTTGTGAAAGTAACCCGAAGAGAAATCACACGTGCATCGTGGAACAAAGTTATTTTACTTCAATATTTCCCAAATCGATACATCATACTCCGTACAATATTAAAAATGTTAAATAACATTCCCAAATTTCCATAAACATTAACTTTATCCTTCGCACACGTGTTACTCGTGAA